AGGGGGTGGGGGGTAATAGGAGCCTATATAAGAAAAAGCCCCCCAAATCGGGACTGTCCCTATAAAATCAGGACATCTGGTCACCCTACCCCCGCATCCTGATATTTCACCTGGGTGATCTGGTCACCCTAGTCTGATCACACAGAGCCAATTGCAGAACTGAAGTCCAGATTTGTTTAGTATTTATAGCACACGACTGGGCAGTAAGGACTGTTGGTTTCTATTGCCAGTATGTCCTTGAACAAGTCACAACCTATATGTCTCAGTTTATGCATCTGTAAAACAGAGGTGTGGTTAATAATATTTAGCTCTCACAAAGCAGTTTAAATCTTCTAAACTTTGGACATTTGCTAACTAATTAATACAGTGAGGCTTCATCAGTGCTTGGAAAGTACTTTAAAATCCCCAAAGAAACAGGCTTGCAATGCTAGGTATTATGTGACAAATTAATCCTTTAGGGCAGGGGTCGGCAACCTTTCAGAAGTGGTGTGCCGAGTCTTCATTTATTCACTCTAATTTAAGGTTTCGCGTGCCAGTAATACATTTTAACGTTTTTAGGTCTCTTTCTATAAGTTTATAATATATAACTAAACTATTGTTGTATGTAAAGTAAATAAGGTTTTTAAAATGTTTAGAAGCTTAATTTAAAATTAAATTAAAATGCAGAGCCCAGTGCCACTGAAAATCAGCTCGCGTGCCGAAGCCATAGGTTGCCTACCCCTGCTTTAGGGGGACCCTGAAATATCTTACCTTTGTTCTAAATTATTTTAACAGCTGTATAAAAAGGTGTCACAGTGTAGCTAAGGGAACCAAGGACTCACTTCTCCCAAGTAGGGTGACTAGATAGCAAATGTGAAAAATCGGGACAGGGAGTGGGGGGTAATAGGCACCTATATTAGACAAAGCCCCGAATATTGGGACTGTCCCTATAAAATCGGGGCATCTGGTCATCCTACTCCCAAGCTAGGACACTTGGCATGCATAGGCCTAACAACACTAACGGCTGAAGCCTCCACTTATGGAAGGTTCCCTTTGAGTATAAGGGGTGGGGAGTCATTAATCTTTCTCCATCCCCTGCCCAGAAGCGTGGGTGACGTTTGGGAGAGGAGGGAGAAAGAAAGCGTTGGGGGAAGGGCACCTATTAATCTCCCTCCCCCTTCGGAAATACGTGTGTGGGGGTGTTGTTGCTAGAGAAGGAGGGGGAGTAGCCAGGCGGTTTCACCTGCGTGTTTCCTTCCCAGAAAGGGCTAGGGCCTGGTTGTTGTTTGGGGAACAGCCAGGGTGGGTGTGAAAGGCTACAGCCAAGCTTGCGCTAGAAGGCGCGGCTAAGTGAGGGGGGAAGCCAAGCAGCCGGGGTGGGGGTGGTTAGCAACGTTTGTCCCTAGCCGGGGAGCAGTGTAGCCCCCGCTAGGGACTCTGCTTTCCTCCTCCCCCTTGGCGGTGCCTGGCTCCCGCGGCAGGAAGGGGAGGCGGAAGAAAGGGGAAGAAGCTCCAGGCAGGCCGGGGGAGGGAGGAGCAGTCCCGGGGGGAGGCGGCAGACGCACAAGATGGCCCCTGCTGCAGAGGCAGCAGTAGCAGCCGGTCGTGGGGAGGAGGTGGCGGCGGCCAGGCGGCCTCTGCTGCCGGTGCTGGAGGCGGTGGTGGCGGCGGCCAGCCCCGTGTCCCGGAGCTGAGAAAAGCTGTTGCTGCTGGGAGCCCAGCCGTGCGGTGAGTGCGGGTCCTGGGCTTCGGTGCGGGGAACAATGGGGCGGAGGTGGTCTCTCTCCGGCCTGGCCCAGTGGAGGTCGGGGGCTGGCCCTGCCTTACTCAGGGCTCTCAGGTGACAGGGGGTCATTGCAGCGGGCTCTAGCCTGTGTCCCTGCCTCCATCTCTAGGCCTCAGGCTTCGGACGGTCTCCATTTCCGAGTTGTTCCCTCTTGGAGGAGGCCGGTTCTATAAAGCTGGGGGCCGGGAGAAAGAGATTTCCTTTGCCCTTGGAGGAAGAGTGGGGGTGGTAGTTCCAGGGGCTCTCGGTTTAGGGGGGGTGGGGACAGAAGACACTATTTGGGTTGCGGGGAGAGTCTGAAGTATGAGAGAGAATATAGTCCCCAGCCCCAGTTATAAAGGTGTGTAGCCTTTTACAGCACAGATGGGCAGTCGGTTCCTGCCCTCAAAGGGGTTCAGCCCCCACTGTGGATTTGCAGAGCTGATGTGACACACATTGAATGCTTTGTTTAAAATATATCTACACATGTCTGTGTGTCTCTCCCCCCCCCCCCCCACTCCCTTAGTCAGCTTGATGCTGTTTTGGGTGCCTATCAGAGTTGTAGGGAACATTCAGGGTAAGTTGGCCAGTGGTTTCTCTGTGTGCCTGGAAACTGAGAGCCTGGCATTTGGGAAATGTAAATCTAAAAAGATCCAACTAACTTGACATTGTTTTTGTCTCTGGTATTACTTTAGACACAGAGTTAAAAGATGGGGCAAGGATTTCCTGCCAGGAAACAGAGCACTGAGTAGCTACCCTTATGTGTTTGGGGGGGAGGGGGAAAAGAAGAATAACCAGAAATGATGTCTTGTCTTCAGAGGCCATATTGAGTGAGATCTGTGCCATTTTAAGAGCCCACAAGTAGAGAAACTGATATTTCTTGTATAAACTGGTATTTCATTAAATTCTTTCCACATATACTTCTTTCTTCTGAACAGTTGTTTTAAAACTTGTTTTGTTTCAGTCAATTATGGAAAAAATGTATTGGTGACGTTGTATTAATTAGTAAGGAGCTTCCATTATTTTAATGTAATTTTGATAAATTTAAAATGGCCAAATTACTAAATTGCAAAAATGAGTTTATCTTAAAACAGCTAGTTTACCCCTATCAGTAGCAATGCTACTTTTTCACCACTAACTCTTCTGGTGACACGTTACCCTTTGATCACTCTGTAAGATGACAATTGGACTATTTTTACGTTTATACTATAGTGATGCCTAGTATTTGTGACATATGGAAGTGTGCTACCTTTTCCACTAAACTTCCTCCACCCCCCCCACCCCACCCCACCCCCGGTCTTCAGGGATATATAAATCTTGTTTTAAGCCATCCTGCCCATTCCTGAGCGTATGGGTAACTATGGTCTCATTGACTTCACTGAGACTATTAACACATGAATAAAGTTATGCACATGCTTGAGTGCTGGCAGGACTGGGGTCCACATCTTCATCAGTCAGTGAAATTAGCATAGAAATTATCAATCCAGAAATGCAGTGTTTCATTTCTCCCATTGAGGTGAACATCTAGTTTCCTTTGAAGTTAATAAGAGCTGGGTGCATCAAAGAGAGATGATCTCCTCCCACCACCCCCTTCCTGAAATTGTTTCAGCCTATTATTCCTGCCCTAGAAAAGGCTCCTCTAGAGCAGATGCTTTAGCAGGTTATTTTGAGGGACCTTTGCACTGATGCTACATGTGTTCTGTTTGTTTGATGGACTCTGATTTCCGTTGCTGTCAGTAAAACCCCTTTGATCAGCATTAAAATTCATGGGGATGAAGAGGAATTGCTTGTTCTTTGTACCAAAAGCAACTTAATTTAAAACAAAATGTACTAGATTGTTGGTTTAAAGTTGGTCTGGGCTGGTAGTGACTGCAAGATATGATCTAATGTCTGAGTTTCATGAAACTAAGGGCAGATCTACATGTAAAATGTTGCTTTGGTGCAGCTGCGCTGGTGTAGTGTAAATCCACCTCCCAGAGAGATGGTAGTTATGTCAATGAGAGAAGCTCTCTCATCGACATAGCACTGTCTGTGGGGGGGCTAGGTCTGTATAACTCGGTCACTCAGAGCTGTGGATTTTTCACACTCCTGAGCGATGTAGTTATACTGTGATAGGTCTGTAGTGTAGACTTGGCCTTAATGATGGCTTCAGCCCACTCCCCAAGCGTAAGTGTCTGCATGACACAGACCAGTACCGGTTTTGCTAACTGAAAGGTTTAACAGAGTTAAGTGCTGAAGACCTAAATTATTTAAAGATGGCCCTCCAAAGCAGGTTTGAACTAACATTGATGGGACAGTTTGCAGAAACTTGAACTCCTGTTGCCTATGACCTACCAGCTATCTGGATTGAGACCTTCTGTCGCAAATGCTGTCAATCTGGTACTCTTCAGTAGTGGTGAATTCAAAATCTTGGGTGTATATATTTTCTTAATTGCTTTATTTTCTTATGTCTGAATATTTGGGAAGAATCTGAAAATGGTGGCAAGGATTGAAAATTTCACCGATCTGGGACTTGCTATATACACAGGCTTGGCAAAATTTGATTTTTTAAAATTTTTTGTAATGTTTAATATTTATTTTTAAGCATTTTCTATTGTTAATCATTTAATTTTCACAGTTGCAGGACATTAAGGGGGGTTAGTGTTAGGGTAGTGCTGACAGCGGGACTTCAGGGGGCTCCCCGCATGGCCAATGGGCCTGACACCTGGCAACAACGTTCAGGGGAGGCTGTGGTCCAGACTCCATGAGGAGGATGGTGAGCTCCCAGCCCTACGCAAGGCCACCCTACTGATGAATGACTTCTGCCTGGGGATGGCCCCTGTACACCTGGCTGTGAATGAGTAAGCAGGGAGGTGACAGTGGGGCTGCAGAGTGCTCCCTGCATGGTCACCAGGCTGGTGACAACAGATCCCTGTAGGTGTTAGCTGTGGGGGAAGCTGCATTTGCCGACTGTTATAAATTATTTTTTGTTGATTTCTATGTCAGGTGAAATTGTTGTGTGATGATGACTAATGATTTAAATCAAATCCTGCCAATCGGACGAATATGATACTGGACAAGTGCCCAAGAGAAGCACTGCTAGATTAACAAGCTGATAGTGTTAAGGTTCATTATCTCATGACTCATCATTGCAAAAAAGGTGTGCTGTATGCCATTAGAAAACAGGAATTAGTTTTTTGTTTGTTAGCTATGCATGTTGTGATTACCATATTTTTTCCATGTGAATTCCAACATGATTTTACTGTCTAATATCTAGAAAACAAATGACTGCAAAATAATGCTTTAAATGCCTTACGTGTAAAATAGGGATAATGATACTTTTGTAAAGCTGTTTATAGCATTTTCCATCAGTAGTTAGCATAAGACCTAGGTATTGATTTATTTACACTCTCTGAAAAGCTTGCAAATCCCAGTTTTCAAATGGTATGAAGAATGACTGAAATTTAAAAAAATAAGTGCCTAAAGTTAGGCTCCCAAATATGTGGCTTGACTTTCCAAAAGTGATAAGCACCCAGAAGCTCCCATACGTGGTTTAACCAAACTTTATTTTAAATCTTGACCTTTCTCTCTCACCATCACTGAAATCAGTTGAAACATGATTTTAAGTAGCTGCAGAGTAGAAGAGGGACAAATAAGAACATAATCAGTGTGGTTTTTTCCCCCCCTAGCTCTTCAAGGCCTGGTATACTGCAGCCTGCTTGAGTTTGATGGACTAGTGTTTAGAACCAGAAATTTTCCCCCCATATTGCCATTGATCACACAAACATGTATGCATCTCCACTCCAGATTTGAACATCTGGAAAAAACACACTTAATTTTTTGTTTTTACAAAAAAATCTATTGTCAGCTATATGCATCCGAAGAAGTGGGCTGTAGTCCACGAAAGCTTATGCTCTAATAAATTTGTTAGTCTCTAAGGTGCCACAAGTACTCCTGTTCTTCTTATTGTCAGTTAGGTACGTGTAAAATAACTACCCCATATACCAAAACTCAGCAAGTGAACCAACGTCAATGAACAATAATCCTTCTATAAAAATTCTTTTGGTCTTCCACCCTTTCAAACCACTTTCAAGAAAAGCCTGAGAAAATAGATAGGCCTTGCAACCTTCCCCTCTCAATGGAGACAGATGAGGAGGGAAGCAAATTCCGTTTAGAAAATTCTCTATATGTACAAAGCAAGTGGTTGTTGGTCTTTTAACAGTTGAGATCAACTGGGATACTCGAGCCATCTCTTTTTGTGCTTTAACCTAAGATACACAGGATCCGAACCATAAAGAAACTTGTATATCAAAGCCAGTACTTTGAGGTGCACCTGACAATGAACTGGAAGCTAGTATAGTCAAGGGAGCATAAACATGTGCTTTGTGTGTGAAATGACGGTAAGTAAGCAAGTGCGTTCTGCACTGTTTGAAGTTTGTGTGACCTTTTAAGGTTAGCTGTATGGAGGGCACATTGTCTGGAGATTGTTGGGTAACTGTCATGACATCCACAAATAGCTACTGATCATGCATAATTTTTGTACAGTAAAAAAGTTTAATAACACTTGTTGAGTTATAAGATCTGTTCTCCTTTTGAGTTGATCCAGGTGTAGCTCCTTTTTAGTGCAAATGTGGTCATGATATGTCTTGAGAAATATGGTAGGGCAAACTATTTTTTGCACACAATCCCATTGTTTTAATTGGTGGCCTGTGTAGTAAAATTTGAAGTGACCTCATACTACTGTAGTTTCAAAGGAATTAATGACTTATGTCTTCTATACTTGTGAAATGACATAACTGAGGAGAAGTCTTAGTGCCCACACAGTTTTACAGACATTAACCTGTTTCAGTGTGGTATTACAAATGCATAGGTGTTTTGTCCCGTCCCCTGCCCCCTTGTATTGGGAAATCAGTTGCAGTGCTTCAGGAAATAATGTCCCTGTTACTCATATATTAGCTGTGAGAGGAACTTGTTTTGATATTTA